CTTCTTCCACAGTGTGATAACCAGCATGAAATACTTTATTGCTTATAACAAATACAGATGGACAGATATCAGGGTGAAATGAAGGGCAGGGGCATTTGCAAACTGACAGAGAGAACCTTCTCCACTAGCTACTTGAAAATAAGCAGATCTTAATCAGCTCTTCTGCCTTTCATTATCGTCAGAAAAGCTTTGGAGTTAATATTCTCTAGCGGAAGACTGAAACGCTTTTAAAGAGGTTGTCTAAAATGCTAATGTTTCTCTTTTCATCACGATTCATGAAGCTTGTGGCTTTCAAACTTACAATTTCAGTTTCAGTCATGGGAATTGGGTTATTTCAACCTCTGTCCCTTCTCAAATGTTATTAATCAAGAAATTTGTTGTTTCTAGCCTACTTGAATGGGGGATCTGAATTCCTGACCTAATAATTCACATTAGTTTTGAATCAGGATTAGTTTATCTCTCTGTTACATGCAGCATCACCTGTAGCAGTGTTAGCCATGGAAAATACTCTCAAGGAGAATATATTCACACTTAACTGTAAAAACAGGATAAGAAGGTGCCTCAAAAATGTGAGTGGAAAGAGAATACTGTATATTCACCCACAAGTGATGGGGTTATCTAAATCCGCGTAGTAGATCAATCAGACTACTGGTGAAATAGGCATGGCATCGAAAGTCTACTTTGACATCTTAATTCCTGTGAAGAAGGGTAGAAGAAGAGAAGGGTGTAAGTTGTAGGTGCCTCCTCCCAGCAGGGTACTGAACACCCAGTATGCCAATCCTCTTTGAGAAGTATGCTGCCTCCCTGGGGCTCATCTGAAGGACATTGCCAAGAAACTGCCTAGCCTGTACAACCAGTAGATCATTGTACATTACTCCTTCTCCATATGGGGAGTGATGAAGTAGCAATACTTACTTCGAGGGCTATCAGAAAGGATTTCAGAGCTTTAGGATGTCTGATGAAGAAGTCGAGGATACAGGTCATCTTCTCTGCTTCCTGTAATGGGTAAGAACTGAAAGAAATGGGAGGATCCACTATATAAACACTTGGCTTCTTGGCTGGTACCACTGCCACTATTCTTTTTCTTTTGACAACAGGATAGCCTACATGGCACTGGGCAGTCACGGGTTTCACCTCTTTCAAAGGTAGAAGAGGGTCCTTAGTGAAAAGACACTAGGTCTCATTGGCAGGTTTTAAACTAGGTTTGAAGGGGGAGGGAGATAAGTGATCTTGTCCATGATAAGATGTGGGATGACATAGCTAAGTTAGAGGGACAGGGACTAGAAGTGAGGGCCCTCAACCTGCTGGCAACACTGAAGCACATTTGAAATCTTACGACCATAAGCCAGGGACCTCTGAGATGATATGAGAAGGCAACAGGGAAACTCAAGAGAAATACTTCAAAGGAATTAAGGAATTATCCTCTAAGAAGGTGACAAGACCAGCTGGATCTGTTGCACACCAACACAGGTAATTGGATTGGTGACATCAGGACTGTAGTGACCATGCAGTAGTAGAGTTCATACTCCTCAGATACATGGGACAGAGAAAGAATAAAATCAGGATGCCAAATTTTAGGAAAGCCAACTCCAAGTTCTTCAGGGAGTTAGTGAACAAAATCTTGTGGGACTCTGTCCTCAGGGACAGGGGAATGTGTAACGTGTGTTTGCTATTTCAGCTTCCATTTAGCTGCATCACATGCAACAGTGCATTTTTCTGGCATAATCACTCCTTCAGTTGGGTTGGGATTGTTGTGCCATCATCCTGAGATTCTGCAGTTACTCAGAGAAGTTTTCCAAGAAAGACTGTGGGGAATCCTACGTGTCATAATCTAAAAATAATTGAAGAAAAACTAAACCAGAAAATTAAAAAATCAACCCCAGGATATGTTTGAATGTCACAAAGTAGAGTTACATGGCAAAGCATGACACTATTTACCACTGCAGTGTATGTAATTAGGGGAAGTCTTGTCAGTGCTGATCAAACTTGGACAAAAAAACCACCAATTTTTACTGATGAGCTATTGTTTATTCATAGGACACCCTCTTTTCCTAAATTAGCAGAAAGAATATACATATTGCTTCAAATACACTATACGAGTCTTTGCTTTTCTGCTATGCTTTCCTTGCCAAGAAACCCTGCCATCAGAACAATAACCGTAAAATTACCATTAATGTGGGTTTGTGTCCAAAGGAGATGGGCTCCTATTCCATGTCCTTCTCACTAAATTGCCTGAGGGTGCTGCTGCAACAAATTATATCCATTAAATATTTTCCCATAAAAGAACCACTTGAATAGACTTGCTCCCCATATTGACATCAGCTTCATGCTAGCTGACAGCTGAGGAGCACCAGGAAGATGCTCTTGATAAAGCACGGACTGCTTATGAAACCAGCTTTGCAACTCCTTCCTAGCACTGCCATTTGCAAGGGCTGCCTTCAAGGAGGGATTTGATAGGACAAAAACCAAGATGGCTTTGAACAGAAAGGAAAGTTTGTGTTTTATGTATTGTTTTATGTAAACAAACCCTAATAGATGAGCTTGTGGGGAACAGGTTTCCATATGGCACAAGCAGTGGCAATCATAAGCTGAGCCCACTGAACCTAGTGAGAACTAGGATTTCTTAAAGAACTGTGACTTTTTTTTTAATGTGTGATATTAGGCGTCAGTCAAAGAGGTTAGCTTTGTTTTTTTTCAAAAGAGAATGTGAGCCCAGAATTGGGACGCTGATGGATATTGCTGCGTTTCAGTCTCCAGCAGAAAAAAAGGCCCAGTGAAACAAACCTCAAAAATTGGGTCTTCAAGTCTCGGACCTGCTGTTTGAACTATTCTGTCCAATGGTAAAACTCATGCTTATTCGAGTGGGGTGGAAACCATCCCTTAGTTTGGTGGATAGTTTGTGGAGATGCTTGTGATCCCTTCTGGGACTGGCTCCATCAGTCAGTCATTGGGATAGGTCCGAGGAGTTAGTGACATCTCACGGCTGAATAAGAACTTTTAAATTAAAAGCAGATTGTTAGGGTATTTGGATGAGCAAGTGCCATTACCCAGAGTCAGCAATCACAAGTTAAAATGGATGGGCTTTGCTGAGCTGACATGGACAGCTGCACAGCAGCTCTGAGACGTGTTTTGCTGTTATTGAAGATGACACAGAAACAGTAAACATTTTAGGTTTTTGTCTGTCTTTCAAACTGAGCCCAGGCTTTCACAGATTACAGAGCATGAAGACGCTTTGCCGACAGAAATGCTTACTAATATTTGCTGCTTGTCTTAGGAAGCCCTTTGAGAAATTCCGAAGGAAAAGGGACCAGCACTGCCTGTGGGAAGTAGGAATTTCTGCAGGAAATGGTTGTGGGTTTTTTTTCTGTGTCAGACCATTTAGAATATATTCAAATGTTTTGTGATGAGTTTTTGTTTGATTTTGGTGGGAAGGTCACAAAATCTAAGATAAAAGGATGACTTTAAGATGTATATTTAAGGGCACTGAACACTGTTGGGCTGAAGGCCTGGTAATCTTTGTGTTGTCAGAGAAAAAGTCCTTGGAGAAATCAGTGACAATCTACAAGAACTCATTATAATTTCAAGGGAAAGGTTGTGTTCTGCTACTCCATCTTCTGTAAGAATCACTACAATGAATGCAGCCCTCAGTAAACTTGTTTTTCACTGAATCACATCATTCTGTCTCAGCACACCTACAGACCTTGCAGAGTCTCTGAACTTTGGATTAGGAGTTTGGTTTTTATCTCCGATGATGATAATTTGTTGCTGTTCATAAATTCCACTGACCCTGCACTGCTGGTATTTGCGGTTCTTTTGATCCACTGGAGAAAAAGGGCAAAAGATAACAGAAACTGAGAAACAGGGAAATACCAGCCAAGGAGAGAAGCTGCCATAGAGACTAGTGGCTGATTCATGGTTTTCAATCCCACCTCCCTCTGCCATAAGCACTCTGTTTCTTGAAAGCAAGTGATATCGTTGCTATGCAAATAAAATTTGCTTTCAGAAGGAAACAAATGTTTGGAGAGCTGACTTGGCTGGAATTTTCCCTGCACATATACTTCTGACATATCAGTGCTTATACTTTGTGTGCATGCATGAGGAAGGACAGGGAACAGAGAAATGTTAGTGAAGATGTTCCCATCTGTTCCATTACTTGAGGATGTAAAAATGCTTGTCAGCTCTCATAGGCTATTCTATTTTTGCCAGGTGGTCTCCCTGCTCAGATTTCACATCAAAAGCAGCTGTGAAGATTTTTTTCCCAGCACGTGTAGAACAAGGGATCCCTCTAGTCCCATCCTTTTTTGGCAGAAGGCAAATATAGGCTGCAGCAAGAGCTTAATTTAAGGATTTCTTGCATTAGATCTTGAAGACCTCTTTCCTTTCCTTCTGACATAAATACAGGTTAACCCCATGCAGTTGTATCTTATGTGTTACTCTGTCCCCACTTTCAGAGCACAGAATGCTTCACTTTGGTCTACTGCCATTTTCCTACTCGCTGTGCTCCTGCAGCACTCAAAAACTTCCTCACCAAAAAATCATCTAACAAGGTCACCATCTAGATACAAGAGAAGGCAGGAAAGTGCCCTGTGCCCAAGTCATGTGTCTGCATAGAATTTCTTGTCTCTGACAGCAGAGCACTGTGTGTCTCACCATCTTGAAGTTCTCGAGATTCACAGACAGCACTGCTGGGTGGCAGGGAGCTAAGCCCCATCTTACTCATGGGGAACTGCATCCCAGAGGGGCTCAGTGTCTATCCCAAAATCACACATGAAATCAGAACCAAGGTGAATCCCTACTTTTGTCTGTGTGGTCACCTGCTCCCTCTCCCCAGCTCAAGCTACTGTATGAATCTATGGATTGTCCTCCCTCTGGACCTTCCTTATGCAAACCATCCTGTGCCAACAGACATTGAACACTCAGCATTTTGGTAGCATTTTGGGTTAAGACCTTCATGAAGCTCCGTTCTCAAGCATGCTGTTTTTCTGTCTTCCCCACTGCAGATCTGCGCAGGATGACAGCTGGCTTCATGGGCATGGCTGTGGCCATCATCCTCTTCGGATGGATTATCGGGGTGCTGGGGTGCTGTTGGGATCGAGGCCTTATGCAATATGTGGCGGGGCTTCTCTTCCTCATGGGAGGTAAGGATTTTGGTGTCTGAGAAGAAAAATGTTGCTTTCATGTGTTCCCCCTTTTCTGTGTCACTAAAAACATGCTTTCAGAATTGTTTTAAGTGATCTGGACTTGGTTTCATTCTGAGTTCCTTCTGTTGTATGTTATGAATAGCCCAACTGTGGTTGCATATTCCATAAGTCAAACTGGGAAGGGCCTTTCTGGGTTGCTTAGACCAGACCACTATTGATACAAGTAACACTGTCACAGAATCTCCTATTCCTTCAGCTTTCTAAGATTAATAAATTTCGTAATAAAACTCTGAAGATGAGGCACATGTTATTTCCACTACTATTCTGTTCCACTGTGGGAGACTTTGGTAGCTGGAATCTGTGCCCATCAACATTTTAATATGTGTTTATTCCTGCTCAGTTGTTCTTTGAGTCAAATGCAACCTTTGGTTTAAGTTCTCTGATGTTTACGAAAAGCAATGGTAAATTCTCTCCTTTCCTTCTCTAAATATGAGTTTTCTACTCCTGCAGATTTCTCTCTGTAAGATCAGTTATCAATCCAGCAGCCCTTTCTGCCACCAGTTCTTGTTTGTACATGCCTCTCTCAAATATAGATGAGAAGAGAAATTCCCAAACAAGGTCTGATCAGTGTCTCGTATAGTGATGTGAAGGTTCCAGTGCCCTGTTGGAAGTCCCTTGCGTGAAGTACTTTATGACTGTATTTGCTATGTCACACGGGAGACCCACAGCCATCCTTCAGTTAGATAACACATCCAGGCATTTCTCCTCCTTTGTAATTTTCTACTGATTAGCTCACCGTTTACAGTGTAGTTTCTGTTTATTAGCCCCTAGATATATGCCCTGGCACTCTGTGCTTTTGCACTTCTTCCCGTTTTCACTACAGTAACCCTCAAGGTTACCCAATATTTCCTGTGTAACGTTCCAGTCTTCCTTACTACAGATGCCATCCAACTTTCTGCCAGCAGCAGGCTTCATAGCACGTAATTACTTTAAACGAAGGATGTGAGAGTTAAGTCCCAACCACAGTGCTTCCTGAACATCTACAACTGAACAGTATTACTCCTGTTCTCCATTCTTTTTTTGCTGGTTGTTTTTGCTTGTCTGGGTCCTTGCCCACCGAGCATATCAGCATTTCAATGCATTTGACCACTTGTTCACCCTCACTGTGGTGTGATACAGCTAAGAGTGCAAAACACGGGAAAGTATGGGTAGTCCCAGAAGAGAAGCTAAGTGCTCAGATAATAAGCATTTATGTTCCAGTGCTGTTGGTGAGATAGTTGCTAGTTGTCTTGGTGCCCACAGACACATTTGAAGTCTGCTAGTACCCTTTGCAAACACACACTGGTCTATATGTGGCTGCCAGTAAATGGTTTGTTGTGGGTGTTCAGCACGTTATGGGCAATGGGTCTGCCAAATTAGCTCAGTATTGCTTATGTAATTAAAAGCTTAATTTGCATGGGGGCTATGTTACTATATCATGCTCAGATATCTGTGTGATATTTAACTTACTACAGCACGGCATCAGATTAAAGTGTTTGGAATATAGCAAATAAATACAAGAAGCAATTTATTTTTTTTTAGAAACTGGCTAAGTCTTATTTAGCAATTGAAAATTATCAATAAATGTGGGGAATTTCCAGCAAAAAAAAGTTTCTTTTGAAAGCTCATGAAAGCTTTCAGGTGAAACAAGACTGAGTGTAACCACACATAATGAGATGGGTCACTCACAACTTAGAAAAATAACAGTAGTTTGGTATGCTCAAACTATACACATTTCAGTGGAGACAGATTCAAGGTCGTGCAACTGGGAACAAAAGCGTCAGTCAGCTTTGCAGAACACAAGGCTGCCTCTCGGAAAGCAGCAGCTCTGAGAAGGTCTCTGGGATCACGGTTGCTGGGATCTCCAGCTGCACAGGAGCTCTCAGAGCAATGCAGCTGCTACATGTGCCAGTTCATCCCAAAATTGTTTTGGTGGGAATATGCGATAAGAGCGTAAGGTAGGATTATCTCTGGGGAAAGCTGAACTATTGCTGTATATCCTAACCCGGTATCCTTAGCAAAAAGGATGCGGAAAAGATGGAAGAGATTTGCAGAAGAGCTATAGGAATGACTGCGAGTTTGGAAAACACGAAAAGCACAGTGTGCCACAAAAGCCAATTGCTTGAAAGTGTTTAACAGAAGGTTTATAATTGACTTGAACACAGTGTGGAAGTACCTGTGCAAGGAGAAACCGTCTGATAGTAGCATGCTCTTTGACTGAGTAGACAAAATAATAACAAGATCCAGCAGTTGGAAGCTGAAACTAATTGAAATGAGAGGCACCAGATCATTTTATCTGCCAAATTCTGTCAAGATCTGTGATATTTTTAATGAAGATGTGCTGGGAGGAGATCAAACATATTTTCTGCTCCAGCATAGGCACGTGAATCAAAGTTTCAAAGGGTTATTATTCTCTTTGTTGCACAAGTCCATGGCAACTGCTACCCCTTTCCTGATTTCTTTTAACAGCAAATGTAACATCTACAAAATGAAGCAGTCAGTTAATAGCATACATAATTAAAGCCATCTAATCTGTTAGTCAGTAGCTATCAATGTTTTCTTGCTGCATCACAAGTTACGTAGGCATTCTTTCTACAGCCAATGAATATAGCTTGAACCCTTTGTTGCCAAACAGTGTTTGAAGATGAATCTGCTACCTCTGTCTTGACATAAATGCTGTCAAGATGTCACCCCATCAGCTTTCAAAATGCCTCTTAGTTCTGGTTAGTTTTCTTCTGGTTCAGAAAGAGGGAAAATGCTTTGGGAGGCTTATAGTGTCCAACCTCACTGCAGATAACAGAATTCTGTGTTACGTTGGTAGCTTTATAATCAGTCCAAAATCTGACTTTCCCTTCCATTTGCAGTGCTGCTTGTTCAGGCTATGTTTGTAGCATTTGTTTTGCATTAATTTATAGATAAACAGCTCTCCTGTAACAGTTTCAGGGTTAAACATTACTTGCTCAAGTTATCTATGGGTTTTGAACAGGAAATCTCAATGGAGTACTGAGAAATGTGCTGTGGTAATCTTACAAGACTAGACATGGTTTCCCTGGACCTCTGGTTCTTTAATATATTTACTGAATGGTCTTCTTGCTAGCCCATGTGGCAGTGCTTAATAAGGACTTGCTTTACTGCGCTTGAAGTAATTTCTCAAGCAAATTGCTAGAATAAGTCATTTGTGAAATTCAAGGCTGTTATCTGGTATTAGCTCATCTGGAATCCAGGACATGTGAACTGTGATTTAGAGTGTATTTTACACTGTTATTCAGCATGTTTTGTAGCAAGTTTAAATTATTAATAATTCATCTTTCCTTTTTAGTCCAAATGTGTCTGTATCAGCAACACACATCTCTTATGGCTTCTGAAATTCTCTTGCATAATTTTCTGTATTTATCATAGGATTTGCACTTGGATTTCCTATCTTGAACGGCAGCATTTACCTGACCTCAGTAGATTTTGTTTTAGGCCCTCATCTTGCACAAAGCCAGATGGACACTGCAGGTTATATGGAGTATTTCTGAGCTCGTTTTGAATGATGATACTGCTGCATAATGTCCTGCACCCAGGCCTGTAGCTTCATTTCAGTATTACCAGTATGATTTTATCCTACAAAAGTTTCTCTTCTGGAGTTTCTCCATTTGGAACCACGCTCTTCAGTTTCCTTAAGATTTGTTCATTTTATGCATTCTACTTGACACTGTTTAATTCTATTATAGAAGTGGGTCACACTCAAATTATATATCACTCCAAGCACATCCTCTTGCAGCTTCTCGCTTGTTCTCTACATGCAAATTATTGAAAATCTGTGCACCAGTGAAAGCTCAATGCTGGGCACATCCTCCAGTAATTTTCCAATTTTATAATAGTCACTGAAACCTTAGAGGCATCTGTAACACTGCTTTGAAATGTCATGGTCCTGTGGCAAACTGATCAAGTTTCATAAATATCAAGTACTTAGTGACAGTCCAAAAGGAGTTCAGTGAAACATCTACCAAAAGAAATGCACATATTTGGGGCATTTTATATATTCTGCTTTGACCAAAGCATGTTTAGTTGCACTGAAACCACGCCTTTGCTTTTTGAAGCCTGAGCGTGATTTCTTCATCAATTCCCATGAAGCGGTCCTTACAGTTTCAGACTTGGAAAAGTTCTTTTGAATGTATCCAAATCCTAGACTTCTTTGCTTATGTTGGCAAACTTGTCACTTCATTTGGTTGGTGTCTTTCCTCCCCCAGTAGCAGCCAACATTGTTGCCAACTTAAGGTCAAATTTCTGTTTCTCTTCCAGCCCCAAAGAGTTGAGATGCTGTGAACTGGCCCACTGGTAACCCTGTCGAGGCAAATTTCTGCATCTTCAGTGTATCCCTCTTTCCAGTCCTTCATCAAGTTATTTAAGAATATTTCCTGTATCATGTTAGGCACACGGGCTATATGGGTAGCTAGTTACGGGCCTTTCCCCCATCCTCCAGCACATTCATGTATAGGATCTTTTTGTCTCAGTGTCTCTTTTCCCAGTCCATTTCATTTTAGCCAGCTGTTCTGCACTAGCATGTGAGTTTCTTTATTTCTAGTTTTGAGAGCAGGACTGATTTCATACCCAAATGTTCCAGGACCCTTTTCCTCCTCCCCAGTGCCTGCCACAGAAGAAGTGGGCTGGCAGGGCAGACCCATGGCAGCACATTCCAGCATCTCGGAGGGGCTGCAGCCTCCCCTGCTCAATCTGGTGCACCTCCCTGATGAGCTGCAGTCCCTGCTCCCAGCTGGAAATAAAAAACAGCACTTCTAATATTTTTTTTCCAGTACTTGCTTCAGCATAAAATTATCCCTGACCAAATTATATCCCTGGCAAGAGCTGCATCACTTGCCTTTGTAAATGTATTAAAGACCCACAAAGAATGACGTTTTATCAGCCTTATCAGAGCTCTGTCCTTCAGCTGCACATTCATGTGTTTTCTAAGT